CAACAAGTCTCGACTTTGACATCATCTAGCTCTGTACAGATTTTTTTGAAGGAAACTTTCAGGGCGGTGTGTCGATTGTGCTGTGAATCCAGCAGAAGCATAATAAGAATGGTTGCGGACTCAAAAACGCCTATTATTTTCGAGAGAATGGTCGTCTCCCCCCCCCTTAACAGCTGCAGCTTCACCTACGTCAGATTTGGAAACTCCATAACATTTATAACGAGAAGCTTGAAAAGAAGGCAAAATCCAGTGTTTGCATTGCTGCTGATGATGATGATAGCAGCTGGCACTCACCTGCACTCCTCTTCCCTGACGGAAATCTTTAGGTTCGAAGGGCGTTTCAATCTTAGAATTACAGGTAGTTCTCTCGAGTGGAACCCAAGAGGCTTTTTATGTGGAATAGTTGAAGCAATCCTGCGCTTCAAATAGACCTCCATTGCTCCTCTTCGAAATTGCCAGAGAAAACCTGTTCTGATGGTCTAGTTGACTTCTAATTCAGAACAATAAGCGGCGAAACAGCAAGTAAAATAGGTTGTGCTTATGTGAATATGACCACCCTTACTGTACGAAGTTTTACCAGATGTATGAGTTGTTGACTCAGTACTCGCCTCTGTGTTGCTCCTGCTTGTTTTTTCAGTTGGTAAAGTTTGGTTGATTTTTGAAGCATCGTGCAGTGGAAGTAACCTCAACGTATGATTGAAAGAGAAGGCACTTGAATGTTGGGTTACTTGGGAAGATCGGCTATAAAAACTTTAATCGGAGTTTATACTAGTGCGACCGTACTTGTCTCGTTATCTCCTCTGAGTTGTTGCATCAAGGTACTGGAACGCTTTTGCTCGTTTCTCTATCATTAAGAGGGTGAAGTATTATTGACTATAGCTAAGAGGATAGGAGCGCTTTAATTAAGGACTAATTGAGAAAATTCCTTGTCATACTCACCAGAGCTCGTAGTGGTGGGGGCAGTACTTGGCTCGCTACTGTTCTCTGTGCTGCTGCTCGTGCTTCCAGTTGTTGGAGTACTCTCGGTCATTTCTGGGACACGAAGTCGTAGAGATGTAAATGACTCGAAGGTTAGGAAGAATGCATGTTCGTATGGTGGACATTATAGAGAACTTGACTTTTTATGATGCCTGTGCTACTGCTGCTCACATGTTCAGTTGTTGTTGAGCTCCTGTTCATTTCTAGAGCGTCAAGAGGGTCTAACTGCAAACGTGTGAGCTTCCAAGTGAGGTGTTCATGAGTGAAAGATGTTTGGCGCTTTTCAAAATTCTGCCTTCAGGTTACAGAACTATAGTTACATAGTCGCTGATGTTACTCGTAATGTTGGCGCCTATGCAAAATATTTTCATTTGCTGGGCACAGGGAAAAAAAAACAGGAAGTTTACTATAGGCTTAGAACACATTGCAGTTGACGTCTACAAAGTGCTCCAGCCTCCAAATTTGGCTCCTTAAATTACAAACCTGTTTTAACAGTAGTAGAAGCAGTTTCTGTCTCCATGCTCGTTCCGGTGCTGCTATTACTCATAGCTTCACTTGCTGAATGGATTCGTTGATTTGTGGAATATGAAATTAGAAACTGTTATAAATATGACAATTAAAACAAGATTTACTCTGATGACCGTGAATCTTCTCTGTGACAGTTGGGAATTCATTAAGCCTATTGGTGGCGAGGCTATGTGAGTTATGAGCAGGTATGTAGATAAGTGAGTGGTACAAATGGTCCTCGTTCTCCAAAGCTTGAGGTAACCTTCAAAGCACAAGGATCGAAGTTGGGTAGAATTGTCAGGAACTTCTGCTCCAATTTCGGGTTCATAGCAGGAACCCATTTATATCGGAGGGGTACATTGAAAAGATCAGACGCAACCAGGATAGGTCAGGTAAGATATTACCAGATTCTTTGATATGGGACGCATCGCTCGCTCGGCGACACCCAGAAGAATAATAAAAAGTGTTTTCTAAGCAGCAAAGGGGTCGAAGCAACAGTTTTGGGCAAGCTGCGATTAGAGACTGGACCCCAAGAGAGTTCAAATAAATTGAAGATAGTGATAATCAGGCCTTAATGAAGGAATGATGTTCTCATACCATACGGAAGTGACTGTAGAGTTCAAGGGGCTGCTGTGGTTTCCAAAGAAAGTAAGAGTGCCATAATCGACCGGAAAGTTGAAATTCAGCCGCAGCCTAGACAGCCACCGATATGAAGCTATGAAGTCACCAGTCGACGTGGCGGCTACATGGCGCTTAGGATAGTGCTGGTAACTGGAACGAGCCCACTTTGACTGGCATCCCTCGAGCTTGGCCTTTGCAAGAGGAGGACGAGCATGAAGTCAAATTACTCAACGCGCTGTAGTAAGAACCGTGCTCGGAATTTTCCTACTCACGAAAGTGCAGGGCAGTCCGGAGTTCCGAGCTCCGCTACCGAATGAAGATCATGGATGCCGCTGCATACGCTAAGAAATCGAAGTTTAGTTGGTCTGGACACACGTTGGACCGGGGCGGTTACTGACAGGAACTCTCGAGGCGCTAAAGAACATCAGCACGACGGCCAGCATGACGGTCAGACTTCTTCACGAATGCTCTGTATGAAAGGAGGAATTCTTTGCTCCATGTTCCTCGATAGAGGACGATCCACTGGATTACTCTGGTGCGCGTCAGGGACGCATGGATACGTTGTTAGCGCCTGCTTGAGGGGACGGGGCGGCAAGTGATAAGTGATAACGGTGTTCTTACTGTGGGGCACAAAAAAGGGTAGAGAAGATGAATTCTTGAAGGACGAAGCGAAAGAAATAAAGCTCACTCTTTTGACAATGTATTTTGCTTAGTGCGAAATTCCTCAAGAAATTCTCGTTAAAAAATTTTGCTTCAAAAATACAGACCGGTGTTCATAGTAGAGGACATTGTAGATGTTTGAGTGCTCTCTTCTGGGCTTGGGCTTTCAGTCATTGAGTTCAGTGAGCACGGGCACTCGAATGACGATACCGGCGCATTGTACACCTTGATATATATCATTATGACATGCACATGCGAGATAAAACAATTAGACGAGAAAAAAGAAGTCATCCAATAATTTCTACTCACCATGACCATAAGAAAAAACAACAGAGGACCTTTGACTAACATTATGAAATTTTGTCACTGCAGTGATGTCTTCAACTTATATACGCATCATACTCAATCGCTTGCAAAACGAAACAAAGCAAAGTAGGGGTTGTCACTACGAGAAAAGCTCCACATTTTGTTACGTGTCACATAATTAAGGGTTTTTAGTGAACTGGGCACTCTCCTGTTATGAACAAAACTTTTGAATGATGAAATTCTCTGTATTGCTAGGCGAAAAGGTTCGCGGCTTATCGGAACGTCGTTCAGTCACGGCCGCCTTCGTTGAACCTTCTCTGTGAGTGTTTACCGGTAGCGGTGAAATGCTTTTTCCATTCGTAACTTTTTAATACTAAACAAAAGCACAGGAAATTTGAGTATGATAGTCGAAAATATATCTCGGACATTTCCCGCTATCAATCATGCAGTTTACTATTGTTAAGTGTGCGTTAGTGAAATTTTACTTAAGAACACATATAGTATTACTTACTTTGATACTTTGATGGTCCATCGGCAAGAGGCTCTCCTCAGCGGGGACCACAGCTCCTCCATACCGCCCGATCTTTCGCGACTTGCATCCAATGTAGACCGTTGTCTCTGAAATTTTTGGAAAACGAGTCGGCCCACCGAGTCGGCGGACGTCCTGATGGTCTTG